CGACGAGCTCGCGATTATTTTCTTCGAAAGATGCGACGAATTTCGAAGGGTCGTGCGGCTCGACGTCAGGGACGCGAGAGGCCACACGGCCCTGGAGTACGCCGCGGCGAATCTGCTGCCGAACGCCGTCGAGGAGCTGCTGCTGCGCGGCGCCGATCTCTCGAGCTTCCGTTTCCCGAGCCTGGCGCTATTCAACGAGTTCATCCGGAAGCATTATCGGGACTACGAGGTGAGAGCGGCCTGCGGTATACTGACGGTGGTCGAGCGACTCGAGGAGGCGGGCTACGTGATGACGCGCAACGACGCCACCACCGTCATGAGGATATTCATCGGGAACGATCTGTACGCGAGGTCGGACGATCCCGATCGGTACTTTTACCTGCAGGAGGGATTCGTGAGCAAGGCGACGGAAATAAATCTGAGAATACCCCGCAAACGCGTGTCTACGACGTCGGACGATGTACCGCCGCCGGTGACGAATCGGGTACAGATACGGATGGCGCACAACGTGATTAGAACCGGTGAGCTCTTTGAAGGAATGATGCGGGAAGTCGAGAGTTGGGTCGCGGCGGAGGCAAGAGACGAGAGGACAACGGTAATCATCGACAGAGACGAAGAGGAGGAGGCCGAGGCGTGGAAGGGGAGGCGGGAGTATCTCGAGAGACAGAGAAAGATCGAAATAGTGAGGAGAATCGCGAGACGGCCAGCCGCTAGAGTCGAAATATCGCAGCTCCTCGAGATGCACAGAGAGATCGTGGAGAATTTAAGAATGGATCCGGCCTACCTCGAGAGATCCCAAGCACTGCGCTACAGACTGGTGCCAGCGCGCGCGGAGGAGCAGGATCAGGAGAAGAAGCTCGGAGCGAAGGTGACGTTCCACGAGCTGTGCCTGGCGAGACCCGAGAGGACCGAGCAGCTGCTGGCCTACGAGGACAACTCCGACTTCTCGGATCCGCGCAATCCCTACAGGATTCCCGCCAAGTTCGCGCGCGCCTGCGGCGTGCACCTCTGCGAGAATCTGACCCGGCGATTCTTTCGGCGCTGGACGCTCGAGCCGTTCCAGCGACTGCAGGCTGGTAGTGCATGGCGGCTGTCGGTGACCTGCTGCGAGCTGATCCTGAAGCAGCTGAGGAACGAGGATCTGTGGCGCATCATCTGCTTGGCCGCGGAAGTTGAGATTGTATAACTTACGGATCTCGAGAATTTTCGCTTTGTTTAACAGCGAGCGTTGCAAAGGGAAAAAAGTGAACGAGAGCGTGTCTGTATTGTCTGTACGTCTGTGAATTATAAATATCATCAATGTCAATAAATAAAAATGCATAAGCAATGCATTGATTTTAAAAAAATGAGTTTTGATTTTTACGTTTGTTTAAAGAAGTTTCAAGTCAAAAATACTTACACCTCGTTACGAGAGATGCTATTCTTTCAAGTATATTCCACTCTCACTTTAGGTATTCTGAAAAATTCCCAGTTTGCCTTTCAAATCTGACCATCAACAGATGATTCGATTGCAACTCGAGGATCGATTAAAAAATTCAACCGAGAGAAATTACATAAATCCCAGAGAATAAAATTCGCCCTGACAGCAAAGATGATCTTTCAAGTTTCAATGGGATGCTTTACATGCAATTGGCTAGCAATGATTAATTGTCAATTAAATCATCGAAGGCAAGAATCATTAAATTTGAGAAATTCTCAAAATGTCAGAAAAAGTATTGGCGCACGTGTCATCGCTGCGCGATTCGTTTGAGAAAGAAAGTAGACGGCGATGATCGTGATTCAATTTTTAATCGGTAAGCTGGTGGTAATGCAATCAAGTTGGACTGGAAAGGATGCAAAGAAGAAAATCGCTTCCGATGCAAATAGATTTTTTAATAGTGTAAGTTTTATGCTTATGTACATATAATATGTGAATTTTAATATGTGTAAGATAAAGGAATAAAAAAACCGTTGCCGATTCATTGGCAGCGATTTCTTCAAAAAATGTGATTGTTGTACTTTCGCATGCAGTAAAGTTTTTTAAGATTATTCCTTATTTCAATTAATCGGACAGCTGGTATTGAATTCAGCTACATGCGCCATGCCAGATGCCACTAGCTGTCAAATGGTATGCAAAGTTCTTGCACAGTGCGGTCATAATCACGCTGTGCTGCCATTATGCTAGCACACTGGCAGCAAAATTTAATTTTTCTGGACGCTTTTATTTAATAAAAAATACAATTATATTTATTGTAATAATAATTTTTATTTTTTATTAGTATAAAATTGAATACAGTGGTCTTACAGTGGTCTAGTACATTGGTTTTCCTCTTCTTATTTTCTTGTTTTTTTTATTTTCTTTTTTATCTTTTTCTTCAATGTTCTCTTCATTTTTGGCTCTTGTGCCTCCTTGAAGTTCTTGAGAGCTTTAATGAATGCATCATCAATAAGAATTTGTTGTCTTCAGTTCCCAGTGAATATTTTTATTTTAATTTTGAAGCCACTGAAAAAATGAAAAATAAAAACATGTTAAAAATAAATAGAGTACATAAAATAAAAAAATAGTGTAAGATGAAGATAAAGTAACTCTTACTTATAAAAGTACTGACAAACTTTGCATTTTTTAACTTAGGTTTAAGTTTGGTGTCTCGCCAGGTAGATGCCTTCATCATCTCTTCTTTTCTTTAAAGTTGTCTTTTAAATTTCTGTAAAATAATATTATGTTTAACTCGTACAAATGATTCAAAATTTGGAAATACATAGTTAAAACTTCACATCAACTACTACTTTGGTACCGTAAAATACGCAATTTTAAATTTTAATAAAATTGCTAACAGTCAAACGCATGAGTTGTTTTATACCAGGAGAATGTATTTGCTGTTTTACATAAATTCTCATTTTTTTGATATTTTAGTACAACTATTATAATCCATTTGTATTCAACCGTATTTGGGTCAGAATTGATGTATTAAAATTCACAACATTTTAGATATATTCATCCTTAAATATAGAAATTTCTTTTTACATGGAGTTGCTTTGGAGCAAAGATAATCTTCAATTATATTCATTTACAAGTCTTCATAAAATAGAGCAGTCATAAACTTTATGTATGGTATTTTACAAAGACATGTGAATTGTAATAATTCAAGACATACTCTTTGCAGCTAAGAATATTCATATAAAATTAAAATTTCCAAATACAAGGAATATCTATTAAAAATTCCAAATATATATATAATACACAAGTATAAGGGTTTTAATATTTCAATGCCAACCTGCATGCTTCATATTAAATACGAATGAGTCAGAATGGTAATTTAAGTATAATCATAGCAAAAACTTGAGAATTTTATCTTAAACAACAAATAATTGAACCAAGTTTCTACTTGTTTAGACCAATTTACTTCGACTTGTAAAAATTTTACAACTGGGTAGGAATATTCCAAAAACCATTGCATGAATTCATTACAATTTAATATTTTAATATTGATCTGTTGCATCTTTGAATTAATATTATGTTCTATCTAATTCAAGGTAATTTTTGGTCAATTCTTACATGAGCAGTATGTTAGATCACATTTAACATATGAAAACGCATCAACTCTTCATAAAACTGTTAGCGCATTACCTGCAAAGCTTAGTAATAAATATGAATTTGAAATCAAATTGGCATACCAAATTTGATCTAACACTCTTTGTCTAGGAGCAGACCAATTATTATTAGAACATATTAATTCAAAGCATCCAACAGAAGTTCTTGAATCATTTTACATAATCAAAACGTTAAATTTTGATGAGCGGTGATTAAGTTGCCTTTGGAATAAATTAATAAGTTTTATGAAATTTTAAGTAAAGGTTTATCAGCTATTAAACAAATAGTAAATAGATCAACTTTGATACGCCAATTGGATTTTATGTTCAAATAATTTTTTCATAAAACTTTGTAAATAAATGCACCAAGTGATAGATTCAATATACGCCTAGTCCCAGGTGAAAATACTATGTAAGATTTGACTCCAGATCTGGCATCAGATCTGGTATAAGATCTGACAAATGTACACCAGATCTGATACCAGATCTTGTATTCGATAATCGACGTCAGAACTTATATCAGATCTGAAATCAGATCTAATGCCAGATCTGAAGTGACTGTATTGCCTTCAATTAATTAAACAATAAGTTTAATAATTAAAATTGTATAACAAATTTAGTTATATCTTGATAATCACATCGATAATATCTTTAAGAAAAATTCCTACAATATTTAGGTTTCTGATAATGTGAATTTAAATTGATTCAACAACTTTTATTATTAAGATTTATTATAAAATTTTAATTAATAATAAACTTATTGTTTAATTAATTAGAGGCAATACAGTCACTTCAGATCTGATATTAGATCTGGTGTATATTTGTCTGATCTTATACCAGATCTGATGCCAGATCTGGAGTCAGATCTTACATACTATTTTCACCTGGGGTGATCATTTGTATTTTATGTATTCCATAGCTTGTGGTTTAAACCTTTGCATGAAATCATTTTTATGCAGAGAGTACGTCATATCAATTTTAGAATGTTTAAATGCTGTGTATTAATCTATAGTAATTTTATACGAGTCAACGCAAGTAGATATCTGATGGCGATGGTTTGCAAGCAACTATTTAAAAAAATACTTCTTTCAATGGCATTGATTGCGATGAAAAAAATTAGTAATTTAATATTATAAAAATACTTTACATTTATTTACTCTAATACCGTGTAAGAATGCGCAATGACTTTTACAATGAAATGAAACATTTTCATTTGGACATGATAAATTTAAGGTAATTTTTCAAACTCAATCGATGATAATATAACAACTCGACTTATGGACTTGTGCACAGCCAATGTATTCTTTCAACTCGATCGATTTGTTGCACGGCCAAACACTGTGTTATTGAAGGTGTCTTAAATTTAAAAATATTGAATTTACCGCTACGTTTCGCGCATAGCGAGTAGCGCCTCTTACCACGCCGCAAAATAATTCACACATTTAGGTTGGGTTACTGCTTCTTTCCCAAGCGCATGAGGTTTCGAGTGCCTGCTAGATTTTTTTTCGCATTTGAAAAGGTAATATTTTTCACGTAATTTATGATAAATTTGCGAATAAAATCATTGATGCAACTTTGACTCGAACTCCGGAGTGTTACCTTAGTTGACACTTATCAAGTTCAATCCTAACAGTTTCTTTTCATCCATAATTATTGTACGTCGAGTTCCTAGATTTCTGAACCATATTTCTAACCTCTATGTCTTTGACAATTTGTTTGAATACTTTTTTGAACACTGAAAGATACTTGAACTTTTGTAGTGTTTTTGTTTCTTTGGCTGTTTCCCATCTGTAAACTGTGTAAGTTTAATTCTAATGGTTTTGTTTAATTTTCACCAGGTCTAACATTCAACTATCAAAATGGGTAGAGTGCGCACAAAGACTGTAAAGAAGGCTGCTCGAGTCATCATCGAGAAATACTATACCAAGTTGACCTTGGACTTCCACACCAATAAAAGGGTCTGCGATGAAATCGCCATCATCCCCTCTAAGCCATTGAAAAATAAGATTGCTGGCTTCGTCACTCATTTGATGAAGAGATTGAGACATTCACAGGTCAGAGGAATCTCAATCAAACTGCAAGAAGAAGAGAGAGAAAGGAGAGATAACTATGTTCCAGAAATCTCTGCCCTCGATAATGACATCATCGAGGTTGATAATGAAACTAAGGAAATGATGAAGATGCTAGACTTCAACAATATTCCTGGTTTGCAAGTAACGCAACCAGCTGCACATGCCTACAGACGCAACAACAACTAAATATCATATAGATATTCATGCTGTCAAAATGTAACTTTTTTTATATAATTATAAATGATTATAATTATAAAAAACTTTGTTTAAATTTTATATAATAAAATTATTATAATATTTACCACACATGTTGTTGTTTAAGCAACCATTGAACTCGGTATGTCACTAATTAATTACAAATCAAAATTCAATTCATATTAGTCTGTTCAATGTAGTAATCAAATTAAATATTATCAAATGCATTATCATTGAACTTTTAATGCTTTTTAAAAAGCATTCCAATGTATCGTTAATCTCAATTGCTGTAGAAATATTTCAACTCTGATGCACCAATTTTAAAGAATAGACAAATATAAACATCCTACAATTATGTGCATACAACACATTTTCATTGAGAATATCAAACTTAGTCAATGATAAAGTAAAAGCTCACTTTTTTCAAATGGTAAAAAAAACCTTGCCCCTGTTGTCAATCAACCATTTTATACCGATAGACGCGTGCTTTGCTGTTGTCTGCAACTTTTCAGTTGTCCGGCTCGAAGCAGGTAGTTTATAGCTCAGTTGTCATTGCGCTCTCGTGTCATAAATGAGTCGATGCAACGTGCCTTTACATTGTCGTTTACTTTTTAGTCATTACGGAAAATCGCGCGACGGTGTTATTGCTCTCGGAACTTTGATTATTGAGTGACGAAAAAATTTTGAAGCAGTGCTGTTATTCATCTCCGACCAGTAGCCGGTGTGTCATGAAAGTAACGATCAAAAGTGAGTACTCGGTTCGTCATTTCAATCTGTATAAATTGCATTTGTTTATATACAGACAGCTTACAATTGAAGCTCTGCGTGTAATATTTTTGAGTTCACAATTGCTTCCGTGTAAATAATCAAGATAAATAGTACAGGGAAGTTCTTGTGGAAGAGGTTATGATTTGCGTTGGTGGTTTATTAAAATTTGCTGAATGCATAATGTGAATGCACTTCATTGATTTACTGTGGGAGATAGAGATAATTTTGTACGACAATCGTATTCAATACTTTTTATTTGTTTGTACTGTTCTGCTCGAGCAGATTTAATTTTTGCAGTGATAACTTTAAAACACTGAGTAATAAGCAATTTATAGATTTTATGTACAATACATCCCATTGCCTTACTGATTAGTTTTATTAATATTATTATTTCATAAACAAACTGTAGTATCATTTTTAATTAACAAGTACAGTATTATCATGGACATACTTTAAAAGTTGAAAAAAGAAGCAAAAACATTAAAACATGCTATAACTTTGCCGTACGTTGATAAAGTAAAAGTCCTGTAAAATTTCTTTTGCTTCGTATTCAGAACTCACGCGAGACGAAGAAATAAACGACTCCGTTCATCAAAATCATCGTTTATCGTAGTATATGACAATTGAAAATAAAAAAAAAAGTAATTCCAATTAACTTTGTAAACATTGCGTCGTGCGCGTCGTTTGTGTTCTTATTTTACAGGCTGGAGAGGTGTCGCCACTTGGCGGTGGGTAGCCAACGACGATAACTGCGGAATCTGTCGCATGCCCTTCGACGCGGCCTGTCCCGACTGCAAAATACCAGGCGACGACTGTCCACTAGGTAATGATTCTCGCTCGTTCGTATCTTTCTCGAAAAAATTTCATCCTCCGACGGACGGCATTTTTCTCTTGTACTGTTCTGCCCTTGCATCTCAACGAAGCCCTGCAGATAACATAAACCGAAATTTATTGCTGCTGCCGATAGCTGACCAAAAAAAAAAGAAATAAATAATTAACAGACGCCTTTTCTCACTTTTACTCGCGCGCTATAATAAAATATAACAAAAAAAGTAGTAATAATAATTATAATTTAGTCCTCTCGCGAAAATTGCGCTCGTAATTATAAAACGCGCGCTCGTGTCGACTTCTTGCACGCGCGCAGCAAGAGTGTCCAATTTGGAGGCCCATTATTTTGCGCCTAATTAACGCACACACGCCGTGTGTGCTCTGGCTACGAGCTCGCGATCGTTCTTTCCTTTTTTTTTGCTTCTTTTTTTTTTCAAACCGTTGTCGTGTACTTTCGCAACTTTTTTTTGCACCGAATCCATACGTGCGATCGTATTACGCAGTGTGGCCGAGGCATTTTAATGGGCTATTATGACGCAAGCCGCGCGTTAAAATTTAAGTGACTTTAATTGTACGATACGCGTGTTTGAGAATCATCGGTTTAGGGGATGGATATGTAGTTTGGGAAAAGTAAGATCGGTTTCGGCGGTTGATTGTAATGGTAAAATTTTCTCAAAGAGTCACAAAATTATAATTTCTCTTCGCGATATCATAGCGAGTACACGCATATAATGTCGATTCGACTTTGATGATTACACATTGTATACCTAATTGTGTCAAGCGTACAATCGCGTACATTTTATATTCATGTGAGTTTTTGTCGGAAAACAATTTCGATTGGGCACAAATAATAAACGACGAAAGGAGAAAAAATTCCAATTTACACAAGCTGTGGAGCTCGTAAAAATTATGGGATCAAATTTCATAAGAGCTACTAGCCCCAAGTGTCAAGAAGAGAAAGTATACTATATACAAAAGTCACTAAAATATTAGATCTAAAGTGTGTCCAGCTGATGGCTAAGTGGTGTAAGTAAGACATACATCTCTTTCAAATCAGTGGAGTGGTTTGATCGAGGTTCGAGTCTCGATAAAACCATTCGGGGACGCCCATAGGAAAAATTCGCGAAATTCGTGCAAGAATTTCTGCAGAAATCCCGCATTCCTGCAAAACTTCTTGCAGAAATTTCGCGATTTTTTCCTATTGGCGCCGCCTAACTTATCACGTGTTTGAAGGGTTAATCCTTCTTTTGTCTTTTTATGTCACGAGCGTTTTTAATTTTTAACTAATTCAAATGTACGATAAAATTTTGATTGAATAGAAAAAACTAACTTTTGTATCTCATAAATCGTGATAAGTAATATCGACTTCGATGAAAATAAAATGCATTTTCATTAGCACATTCACGTAAAAATCATTTTCGTGTTGGTTTTCCCAATAGTTTTTTTGAAGCAACGAAAAATGTATCTCCACCTAAAAATTTGATAGATGTGTTTGTAAAATCATCGGGATCAATTGCCAAGTCAATATGGCTGACTCGGTTGAAATTAGCCAAGTGACAAAAAAAGAAAGTGTACTATACATAAGTCACAGAAATATTAGATCGCATGGGTTCATCTGATGGCCATGCGGTCTAAAGCACACGCCTCTGTCATCAGTGGAGTGGTTCAAATCGAGGTTCGAGTCTCGATTAAAATCATTTCAGGACCTGTAATAGTGTCTCTCAGAATCACACCACTTGAAGGATAAATCCTTCTTTTGTCTTTCCAAGTCACGAGGCATTCCAGATAAATAATTTATCCCAAAACACCGTTTCGAAAATTAAGTTCAGCTTACTCGGTAAATTTTTAAATTATAAAATAAAATTGCCGTACCTCTGAGCCGAAAAGTCTGGCCCTTATTCATCGTAAAGTCGATCCATACATAGGATCAACGAGGAAATTTCCCAATCTTCGCGAGTTTTCGATACGCGACCGGCATCGCGTGCTTTTATTCAGGGCTCGTATATCGCTCGCATATGCGCACTGCACCGGTCTCAACGATGCGTGTGGTCGGCGGGCGGCGCAGGGGGTAGTTTTGCGAAAGCGCCGCCGAGGTTACCTACAAACGAGATACACACACAGACACACAAAGCGCACGAAAGATATCGATCGGAGTGTCGTACATATAGTAGTGCAGAGCTGCGCTGCGCTGCTCTGCTCCGGTTCGGCTCGGTGCAGTGCTCGAGAGAGACGACACGATATACATCGGCGCAGTGTAATGTCAGTAGGCGGCCTTCGCACCCCATCGGCTTCTGGCTTCGCGATATAGCAAGAAGAAGAAGGCACAAGAGCACACGCAGTGCAGCCCCGTTGTCTCTTGTGTCTGTTTGTGTGCAGTGTGTGTGCAGTGTGTGTGACAAGCGGCTCAGAGCGTGCAAAAGCCGCTGGTCTTTTTTTTTCTTCTTACGCTGTTATTGTTGCCGCAGCACTACAGAAGCGAAAGGGTAGTTCGCGCATATATGGATTACGAGAGCCTCGGCACGCACGTGAGTTTCCCCTATACGTCGTTCTCGCTGTGTTTAATGTCGAGGGAGTAGCAGCGAAAAGCTTAGGGTTAAAAATTTCGCGGATAGCCGACCGTTCTTGATCCCTCCTATTCGCTCCACCAGTCAAATTTTTATCTAATCGTTATGGTCGTCGTTGTTGTTGCAGTTTGGGGCCAGTGCTCTCATTGCTTTCACATTCACTGTATCATGAAGTGGCTGAACTCGCAGCAGACGAGCCTCCTGTGTCCCATGTGCCGCCAAGAGTGGAAGTTCAAGGAGTAATTCGACGTTTACCCGTTCGCACTTCCTTGTGTATACAACAGCAGCAGCGGCAGCAGCAAAAAAAAAAAAAAAAGAAAAGTCGCCGCATTGCCCCCCCGAGAGAGCCGCGCAGTCTGCTCCGCTACGACTACTTTTACTCGCACAATTTATAAATAGGAAGCAACGGTAAGTGACTTGAATAATCGCTCGTTATAAGGCTATATACGAGGAGAAGTGACGATAATTTTTCCCGCTGCGTGTTTTTGTCTCGAGCATCGAGTGACATTTGTTTCTCTGTTTATGTCGTTGTTGTACTCTTTGTATTATGTAAAAATATCCGCGTGATTCGACGCCGAGGATCGCTGCGTTGGTATTTCAAGTATTGAGGCCATTTGATTACGAAATATTATAATAAAATTATCTGAAAAAATCACGACGATTATTTTTTTTTTTTTTTTTCATTTTTTTTACATGCATATCCGATCATGAAAATAGGTTTCATAAATGTGTTGCAAAAAATGATTAAATCCCCTCATCCTGAATAAATTACCAGAATTACATTTTTTATGATAATTAATCAGAAGAAATGACAAAAGATCTACTTGAAAATATTTATATTATATACCACTCGAACCAATTGACAACGATGAATCACCCCAATCGATAGACTGAACGAAGCTACTCTACGAAGTTCAAAATGAAAGAGAGACAGCGAGAAATCTATAGGTCCGAGTTTATTATGATTTCGCTAATTAGTGTCTCGTTGAGTGATCGTTCGTAACTGTTCACGATCGGTACCATAGGATTCGTAATTTTGCACGATTATTGTCATATAATAAATACTTGAATGGCGGGCGCTAAAATATACGAGCACGAAATCAGGGAGTCGAAGGGTCGCACCTACATAAATATTACCGTCAGAGAACCCGAATCCCCGGAACCGCCGACGCCCAGAGCCTACGTACATATTACCGTCAGAGAACCCGAATCGCCGCCGCTTCCGCCGAGAACCCGGAATAATAACGACGACGATCGTCGTCGCCTAGTCGTCTGGAACGAGGATCACGTCGTGAAACGCAATGTCGAGGGTCGGGAGCCTTTTCCGGGCGCACACGAATTGGCCGAGTGAGTATCCGTAGCACGTTTCGTAAAATCGTCGATATTTATCGTTTTTTTTTTCATTTCGCTATTCTTGGAATCGAGCACGATCGAATTATTATGAGGAATTATTTTGAAGAAGAGCAGTAATTGCTCCGCGACGAATCGCGGGTAATTACGCTCGATCGATGCTCGTTTTTCCGAGGTATTTAATACGTGAACGTTCATCCGTAAATTCTGTACTTTACGCGAGCGAATGTAAGTACGAGGCTGACTGTCGACGTAAATATTTCCATGCGATATCTATTTATTCATCCATTCACGTTGGTAGAGAGACGGATGAAACATCTCATTAACTGCTATAAAAGATCATATGCGTCATTTTTAATGAAATGGCTCGCATATTATTGGCTTGATTTTGGAGTCTCTGTGTCATTGTCTCACCGGTGAATCGTCACATGGCGAGATTAAAAAAATTCGAGTTCATTATTTTACACGTAACGTATGGTTCTTTGACATTTTATTGCTAAATGCGTCACGCGTATGATCGTGCACATTGGATATTTATGTGAGTTTTTGTCGAGAGCCGACCACTGAGGGCCGATTATTAATCGTTCGCTCGTTTATTTAAAAATGATGAAAAAAAAAGTTTGATTGGAAAAACGATGCAAATTGACGGTTTTGGAAGCAACGAAAAATAGATTTACATCCAAAAACTTTATAAATACATGTATTTGAAAAAACATCTGAAAGATATAAAAATTATAATTCGTGTGAGTAATGAAGCTCGTAAAAATGACGAGATCCATGCTGTGTCCAGCTGGTGGCTAACTGGTGTAAGACACACAACTCCTTCACATCAGTGGAGTGATAGTAGGCTCCTTGAATCTTAAAATAAAAAAGTAAAAAATTAAAAACAAATTAAAAATTGAAAAAGTAAAAAATTAAAAACAAATTAAAAATTGAAAAAGTAAAAAATTAAAAACAAATTAAAAATTGAAAAATTAAGAAAAAATCAATTTAATAAAAAAATCTAAAATCAAAAAAGTAAAAAGTAAGAAAACAAAAAAACGAAAAACATGAATCAAAAAAACGAGAAAATCAAGAAAAATCAAGAAAAAGAAAAGTCAGAAAATCCCAACACAAGCATCGATGTTTCACATCTGGGGCATTATCAATGCGTGCTTACTCTTCAAATCGTTCCCTCTCATTGAGTTAAGTAATCAGAGTAGTTTCTCGAGCTTCAGCGCGCCAGATGTTTATTGCAGATTTTTTATTGCAGATTTGGAAAAAACAGGAAAATTAACATTAAAATATGGATTTTTTGTAAGGTCAAAAAGTATTTTTTTGTCTGAGGCGAGCCAGTGGGCGACTCTAGCAGTTAGTCGTACCCCTCGAACCGCAATTTCGGTCCAAACTCCCGGCGCGTCATTCTAGTCCGGTCAGCCAGGAAAAGCCTTTTTCCAAACGAATGGAGCGATAACTGACCGTACTATACACGAGCTGCGTTAATGCGTAAGGGCTCGTACTACGGAAGCACAAAATAATCGAAATTACTCACGTTGTTGCCTCGCAGACGAGGCCAAGTACCACGCAGATATGATGCAAGTCGCCGAGGTTTTATGCTGCTGCGATGGAGATCTTCGGGTCTGCCAGGTCGTATAGCGTGTAACACTTTTTGGTCAAATTCTTCATTTTCGAGTAAAAAAATTGAATTAATAAAATTTTGAATGAAATGAACCATGAATAGAGGCACTCGAACCGGAAAACAACCATAGATAAAAAAATTATGCAATGCAAAAAATAAAAAAGTATTAAAAAGTTATAATTTTCTAGGCNGACTGAAATTGCCGTTCGAGGGGTAGGACTGAATGCTCGCGAAAAGATAAAGTCGAGAGCGACCCACTTGCTCGCGTCAGCCAGGAAAAGACTTTCTCCCATAAGGCCACGTGTTATCGATAAGACAGCTCGGAGTATCCCGGCAAGAGGCTGTGGTATCTATAGGGAACTTGGGCACAAGTGGTGTTTGCTTACACTCATCGAGAGATAGTCCTCCTGGATAGTCGCTGAGATGGTGTCTGGGACGTATTGTAAGGAAATTTAGAACTGAACATCATTTTTTTATATTCAAAACCAGTTGACGATTTTCGTGGAGACGTCACATGTTGCAAGTACGAGAAGAGGTTTGGGCAATTTGGGACTCGTCTTGAGCTATAAATGATTTTACATAAGAGTCGCAGAGATTCCGCATGTAACAATTGTGAGAAGCCGTTTGGATCACGAAAGTCGTTCCAAATGTCTTCTTTCACTTGTCACATGCGTAATCTTTGGGACTTTTCTGTACTGTCATTTGTAGTTCAGGTCGTGTCCCATTTTGTCCAAATTTCTTCTCGAACTTGTAGCAGGTGACATCTTTGCGAGAATCGTTTAATGGTTTTTGATAAAAAAGAAACGATGTTTAAGTCTGCCTTGACTTTCCAATCCGTCGCAAGCGGAATCTCAGCGACTATTCTGAAGGGCTGTTTCATGATGATTACGAGCAAACGCCACTTGTGCCCAATTTCCTTTAAGGGGTTTTTCACTATCTACTTCTATTTGTCAACAAACGGCACAATTATGACGATTACGAGCCTAGAAAATTATAACTTTTTAATACTTTTTTATTTTTTGCATTGCATAATTTTTTTATCTATGGTTGTTTTCCGGTTCGAATGCCTCTATTCATGGTTCATTTCATTCAAAATTTTATTAATTCAATTTTTTTACTCGAAAATGAAGAACTTGATCAAAAAGTGTTATACGTTATACGACCTGGCAGACCCGAAGATCTCCATCGCAGCAGCATAAAACCTCGGCGACTTGCATCATATCTGCGTGATACTTGGCCTCGTCTGCGAGGCAACAACGTGAGTAATTTCGATTATTTTGTGCCTCCGTAGTACGAGCCCTTACGCATGAACGCAGCTCATGTATAATTATAATAACTTTTATTGCAGTCTAAAATCAAACTGTTTACAGCATTTTATAGGAGTTTAAAATTTTTTTAGCAGAAACGATTTTCGAATGTAACTAAAAAACATGCATGATAGTGCGTAGAATCTCGCGACGTATACGCATAGACAGCACATACGTATTCTATGTATTATCGTACGCATATAAGCAAGAGAGAGAAAGATATCTCAACGCAGTCAATGCCGTGAGCCAAGCTGACTGCTGCTGCTTATGCTGTTACATTGCCTCGTGCGTATACGTAAACACAGATATACGCGCGTGCGAGAGCGAGAGAGAAAGAGATACGCGCGTCGACATAAAAAGCCCAAAATTTAATTTAGATATAAATTCATGATTTTACATATGAATATTACATAATAAACAAATAGTAAATGAATTTAATTTAGGAAGAAAACGCGTGGAAAAACAAATACTTACAAAGATTGTCGGTTTGTAGAGAATCTACAACTCGCTATAAAGCGAGTGTCAGATCGTGGATCGGCCGATCGATCAGTATTTTTTATTACTTACCGATATTATTTTTCGAGACACTTTTTAAGCATATAAATTTTATTCTAGGTTAAATAGATAGGGAAAAATAACAACGGAGCGAAATCAAAATTTACTTCTTATTCTGATGAGTTTTCAAAGATCAATTTCGATCTCGGTTTTTTCGCGACTTTCTTTTTCTTTTAAACTACCTGAAATTAGTCGTAGTTAGTATCGATTCGAACTAAGGTTAAAAATGTCAAACAATTTCTGAAAAATTGAGAACATAATAAATCTCTTATTTCACTGATGTGAACAAAAGAAAAAATTTTTCCATTTGAAATTTATTGTCTATCTGATTTCACAGAGAATTGACCATAAGTATACATACGCGATAAAGAAAAAAGAGAAGAAAAGATCGTAATACAACACAAAGTGCGTTAACAATTTTATTTCGAAATAAAATTCGGATTTTTGTGTTTCCGAATTTTTCATGTTCCGCTTTCAATATTCCGATTTTCAAACTTTCCGAATATTCATAATTTCTAATATTCATCATTCCGAAATTTGAACATTGCTCGTGGAAATTAATCAAACTTCGAGTTTGCTGATTAATGCTTTTCTTTTCTGAGATTTATATAATCTTGTCTGGCAAGTTTTTTGTCTATAATTACGCGAATACCGGTTGGTAAAGCAAAAAACACGCATTGAAAAAGGTATCAATAGAACTGCGCGTATGGGTTACAAAAATTGAAATAGAAAAAAGATACAGAAAAATGTTACATTTCTGGTAAAAATTGTTAGGATTTTGATGAATGCACTTAGTTCATCGAATTTGTGAGATAATTTGAATACATAACATGATTGTTTAAGTAATGAGAATTTAAGTCATCATATGCTTTCCATCGATTGCATAAGATGATAATTTGTTTTTTTTAGTTTATCACTTTTTTGTCGATCATAATTGATATGAATTTTTGATACTGCAAGTAAAGAATAAAGTAGTTAATCTTTTATTTGGTCCAAACCAAATTTTTTCGTTTTTCTCCCCTTACGTAAGTCTGTACAATTGATATTATCTGATTGCTCTCGTGACAAATCTTGTTCATTCATTAGGTGAATTAATGCGTGAATCGAATCCCGATTACCGAAATTGAGTTAGTAATTTTTACAAAGTACGAATTATTCCATCATATCTAGAGCTCGGACTATACACTCTAAACTCAAAAGAGTAATTTTCGAACCTCAAAAGAGTAATCTGCGCAAATTACTCTTTTAAAAAGAGTAATCTAACGCAGATTACTCCTTTCACTTTCACGCTAGAACTAAAAAGAGTAATCTGCGCGAATCACTCTTTTAAAAAGAGTAATCTACGCACGTTACTCTTTTTTGAAAAATGCTGAGTGGAGAACGGAGAAATTCATTTCAATTACTCTTTTTGGTAAAGATTACTTCGTGCATAAGGATATTGCGCGCGGATTACGGTCTTTGAATATCAAAGAATATTTTTTATTATACATACATGAGTATATTAAAGCAACTTATAATTAATATTCTGTTACATCTATATCAAGATTATTCAATAAAAAATTATTCAATAAAAAAGCAACAAAAAGCTCCAATAATTGAATAAAAACTATTCATATAAGTGTGACTAAACTATTTTGTGAAAAATATTTTCATTATTGCAAATATAAAAATCACCCAGTGTTTATTCTAGCAGAAAAAGAGTAATTCGCGCAGATTACTCTTTTTAGTTCTAGCGTGAAAGTGAAAGGAGTAATCTGCGTTAGATTACTCTTTTTAAAAGAGTAATTGGCGCAGATTACTCTTTTTAGTTCTACGGTGAAAGTGAAAGGAGTAATCTGCGTTAGATTACTCTTTTTAAAAGAGTAATTCGCGCAGATTACTCTTTTGAGGTTCGGAAATTACTCTTTTGGGTTTAGCGTGTATGCACGAAAAAAATCCAAAGTATGCATAAAAATATGCACGACAGTTTTGCTTAAAAAAAATTAAATATGTAAATTTTATTGAAAATTTTCAGTTATATTATGATACATATTAATAAAAATATATTTTTCCAAATTTTCCATGCTAAAACTTTGTCTTTTATCATTTAAAATATTTTTGTATACAAAAAATGATCTTTCTACATCTGATTATGAACTGGGGTTTCTGATAACTGTGTCTATCGTTGTTTTTTTATTTTCAACTTTGCTTAACGAGTGATGGTATTAACGTGCTGTATTTTTAAAAAAATTTAGATTAATGAAGTGATAAACGCCCTTTATACCATTAAACACATACTTGAACAATTAGAAACGTCTTTTCACATGAAACCACTTCATCGCAGACACTGCATATTAGAGTTTGCCCATCGTACTTGAATACACCAGAAAATGATTCAATCCAGGACATAATATATTTTCTATCAACTGGCATAATAAATTAAATGTTTGAAATAAATATTTAACATATTTTGATTTTATATTTTTAAAAAAGTTGGAAATATGCAAAATATGCAGTATTAAAAAAAGTCTAAAATATGTAAATCCACATGAAAACATGCAAATGCATATAATCCGAGCTCTAGTCATAACATATTGTTGTCATTTATATAAGATCTCACGATAACTGAAAAAAATTTGCACGTAGGCATATAAAACTGTGAGATATTCAGGTACAAAAAATCATCATCTGCACGTAGATTCTGTGTATATGACGTATTCCACGCTCGACCAGACAGTGCGCTCGCGCGGGGCATTTTTTAATAAATCGCAACTTTTCTAACTCGCCATGACTGGCGCTTTCATGGAGAAAATTAACTTTTTTCGAAAAACTGATACCACCATTGGAAAGAACAGACAAAAATCTATCGGAATGCGCAAAATTTTTTCAGACATAATTACGCCAGTCATGGCGAGTCAGAAAAGTTGCGATACATTAAAAAATGCCCCGTGCGAGCGCACTGTCTGGTCTGGCATGGAATACGTCATATGTGGAAGCATGTCAATGTTCAGTAAGTTTTAATGCCAGCATGTGAATCTTTCAGATTATCCGAATCTTTTTTCTTTTTATCTTTTTTTATGGCGCTTTAGAAAAAATTTTGTCTCGAGCACGAATGAGAGATGAAAAAAACGGAAGAAAATGTTGTGATGCTGTCGATAAATCTTTTGCCTCGTAGGTTAAAATCAATGCTAAAGCTTGTTTCAATCTTTTTCTTTTGGAACTTTGACATTGTCTTGACTTTGCATCTATTGTTACTACGTAAAATTAAAAATATGTATTACGAATATTTAGAATGACAGTCAAAGGTTTTCACATTTATTCGTGAATTAAAAATGCTTGTAAACACTATCAATTATCCCAGCAAGGGGGCCAACTCATGTTAGTGAAATACAATATAATATTAAAACCATTAGCGATTGCCCGTATACTTATATAGCTCATAATTCAGGTGAAGAACGCATGAATGAAGATTCTTAAAATTTTTAATACAATATGTATGTACTTTTTACTTGAAATACTTTTCTATAAATTTCAAGCATATCAAAACAGACTTTTTTTAAAAAATATAATTTTGTAAACATTCTTTATTTCTACTACAACTTCTCTTTCAAAATCAAATAATATTTCAAACAATTGTTCTTAAAATATTTGAATTGGTGTTCAAATTAAAAAAATTATAAACTTAACGAGTAATAATTTAGGGATTCAAATATTATTGCTATTTGTAATGCATATTGATTTTTGATGAGTCATTAGAAAACAATTTTAAACTTTTTATTGTACTATGAACAATGATAAATCAAGGTTTGACAAAAATTCAAGATGAATATACTCTCACAGTATTAGCATTATCACATAATAGGTATCCCCACGTGTTGAGTTTTTTTCTAATCATAAAAGATTTTCCGTTTGCAATAAAGATGTGGAGGGGGTCTGATAATTTTAGTATTAGGCCTATTTAATAGCCAAGAATTTTCACTGCGAATCTAGATTCACGTAGTGCTTTATTGTGCTCATCGCTCACAGCAGTCGTAGAAAATGATTTCAAAAAATTTTATTGTGTTGTGTTTAGCTACTCTTTTTGGACTATCAAATGCCTTTGTTCGTAAGTATTATAAACAAATATATCAAACTAAGTAATTATTTCCATAAAATAAAACTTTATTTACACTCTAGAACGAAGTTTTTTTAATATTTTCGAAGGAGATTATTTGGTCAACTATGTAAATCGTGCCTATTATGTTTTTATTAAATAGATTTTTGAAAAAATAATCGATAGAATTGATGCATTATTTATCTTTTTTTTAATGTTTGAAACGTAATTTAAATGATTGGAATTTGCATCTCAAAATAATTCTATTTCATTAAAATTTTATTAAAATTTAGTAACAACAATTTTTAAATATTTAAAAGTTTTAAAAAGAGTGAAATTACTTTACTGCCTTGATTATTACAATTGATTTTTTTTCGTAATTTGTTTTTGTACTCTTAATGCTCGTATAATCAAGCTATGATAAATACCGGAAAACCTGTTTGTAAATTGTGATCAACGATCTTTTGTATGCTGATTAATCTTTTGAAAAAGATATCCTTGAGCGATACGTAAGATCTATTGATGATTTAAATTTTTTTACTCGAATTTGATATCATACTTTAAGCATTATTTGATGAATCAAATTTAATTTATAGTTATTGAAAAATTAATCATAGAAATTCCGTAAAACTTGACGAAGGTTAAACTTTTCTGAAACTGAAAATTCGAGTTATTTTCTACAATTGCATGTTCTCACGCGAATAACTATTTCTTGATTTCCTCGACCAATCCTATGTATCAATGTAACCGAGTATTCAAATTCTTGCAATTTAAGCATCCTACATTGAAGTCTGTGGACGACGCAATCCGAATCTGGACCAATGTGTAGTAGACAGTGCAATAAAACTACTGCCGAAATTGAGAGTTGGAATTCCTGAGCTAAATGTACCCCCACTCGAACCTCTGGAAATTGAAGAACTTCCTATGGCCAATCTTGATTCCTTTAAAGCTTCTGCGACTAATGTTAAGATCAGCGGCTTGTCTAATTTTACTATTATAACTTATAATGTTAGACTTCAAGAGCAGAAAATCTACATGGACGTTATATTTCCTCGTGTCCAACTCAATGCTGATTACAATGTGAAAGCGAAAATTCTAGTATCTATTGCCGAAAAAGGACCTATTGACATGGTCACAGGTGAGTTTTTTTACTCATATTAAGCTCAACTGTCAGATTAGAAATTTGCATAAGTCGTGTAATTTCGTTGTTGCATAATACAGCGGAAATACGTGGTTTTTTCAAGTGACTAAGAAATTGTCGCTGATGTTTCGTCAATAATATTACACAAGAAACGTCTAAATGTATAATTATACACATAATTAATCAAAATGCGATTTTATTTTAGAAAACATACGTGCGAAGGCTACATTGAAATTTCGGTTGGTCGAACGTCGTGGACGTCAAATTATGTTTTGGGAAGAAATGACAACAAAAGTTTTTGCTAAAGACTACACGGCTAGTTTTGGTGGTGGTGGTGAACAGAAACCTCTGGCTCAGGCCATCAATCAAGTTCTGCAAACAAGTAGAAAAGAGATCATCGAAAGCATTACACCATCTTTGGAGCGAGCCCTTTCTGCAAAAATTCTAGATATTAGTAATCGTATATCAAAGAACTTTTCTTATGAAGAGTTATTCCCCGATCGTGAATGAAAGAGTAACATTAACTCACATAATTCTAATTTGCAATAAGGATCGATTTTCCTGAAAATTCATATTGAAGTTTTATTTCTATTGTCAATGCATAATTCATATTGATTTGAATATGATCGTAAAATGAAATTATATGTTAAGTCTGTAACATTCAAAATTTTTTTTCAAGCCATAGCGTTTGATTAAAAAATATTTTTCAAAACGAATTGTATATAGTTTATTTATGATGAACTACATTTATGATTTTGCGATTATGATCATGCGATATAGTTAGATTTTGTATAATGATTCTTAATAAAAAAAATCGAATGTAAATCGTATATTTTATTATTATTTCCAAATGTTCCAAATCGTATATTTTATTATTAATCCAAATGTTTTGCGACAAATCTCACATTCAAAGGATGTTGTGTGTTTATTAAGGTTACTTTTGCATCCAAACTATGCAAATTATTTATAACAAATCTTGTCTTCGAAGGGTTTGTCACAAATATGAACTGCATTCCCGTGGATATTACGTTTATACTAATGCCCAAAAAATGTGTCACCGATTTTACATTCATATAATTCCATGCTCTCACATGTCGTTTCAATAAGTACCATTTCAGGGCCCACCCGGCGAATAGAATGATCTTTTTTAGTGTTACGAGCGTTTTTAATTTCTTGAGAGTTCGGACAAATAATTTTTTTCAAACACGTCTATACATGCAAAATTTTTTTTTCAATAAGAAAAATTAATTTTTACACATTATGAATCGTGATAAGTGAGATCGACTTTGATGAAAAAATCAAAAAAACAATCAATTTTTATAAGCGCGCTCAGACGAAATTGATTTTTTCCGTTGGTTTTACTATTATAGTTTTAGCGATGAAAGGTGAATTGAAGAAGTTTGAATAAGCATTTTTAATTTTCTTCGAGACATAATTAGCTCTAGAACTTACGAACAACTCCGGTTCTGCTCCATTCAAAAAATATTTTTAATTGATAAATAATAAAATGAAAGAAAAAAAGAACAAAAGAAGGATTTTTCCTTCAAGGTACAAGTGAGCGTTTACGCGGCGGCGTCCCTGGAATGGTTTTAATCGAGACTCGAACCTCGATTTAAACCACTCCACTGATGTCAGAGGCGTATGCTTTGATCCGCATGGCCATCAGCGAGACATTCGTTCCTAATGCTTTTGAAACTTTTCTAGTTCACTTTCTCTTTTTTGTCACACGGCTGTATAGCTTCGACTTGGTTAGCTATATACACAATGTCAATGTAGCATCGTTGAGCTGTGATTTTTTGATTTCTGTCAATTTTCTGTTGTTATCATGTACGAGTATGATTGCTTGACTTTCAAAGTTATCGACGTTTTTAATCGTTCATTTTTCGTGCGAATATTATCCAGCTAACGTATTTTGTATAACAACTCGAGTAACAAAACTATCGCAACAGCATGATAATCGTGACAATCGGTCGATTGCCCAACGACAGGACACCGCGCGAGTTCCTATCTCCGCGCGCTAGTCATCGCATTATCCTCGCACAATTAGAGAAGTTCATATACGCGGTATTCGAGCGCGTCCTCTCTTTTGGCGTCTGAGAAAAGGATGAAGAAAGACCGTATAACACAAGACTCGGCTCGTTCTGGTTTCAATTTTCTCACCTCTTCTCGACAAATTGTTTATATTATTATATACTCGAGGTGTAAGAGAAGGCAGATTTTATAATTCCCAGATGACTCTTTTTTTCGCTTACACCGCGCACGATCGTCACGAGTGAGGAAGCTCTTGGCCAATCCCCCTCTCACGATTCCCTGGCAGCGGGAGTTTTTGTTTTCGTTAATCTCCGCGAGCCTCGAGACGGCTGAAACATATTCCGGTGAAGTTTTCTCTATCCCGCGTCCCGATCTCGTATAGCGCGCGAGTTTGCATAAATACGAGAAAGAGAGAGGGAGAAAAATAAACTTATAAGTCGGTGAGTTTTTCGAGCTAACAAAAGTCATCATCCTCTCGAACGCGTGGACGAGATTATTTATCATCGCGCATGTTGGGTATGAAACAGTCGAAATTTTAGATCTAGTATACATTCAGGGCGCTTAATTTTTTAGCCCCTCTCTCTCCCCTTTAATTTTTGCAGCACGATGCAGCGCAGTACATCCGCGATGATGGATTAATACAGTCCAAGGAGTCGAGAGAACTAATGGCAAGTATAACAGCAACACATTCGTATATAGACGTGTAAAAGCCGCGCGGAGATAAATAAAGACGACCGCCGATGTAAATCACGATCGGCGCGAGCCAAAGTTTACAACTCTCGATACATATAAGCTTAATATACATTCGGGTGATCGCAATGCGCTATACGTTTATTTATGTTGTCGTATATTATAAGGACCTGGGCCCCGTTTCGCGCGGTTATGTATAGAGAGCCGCGCGTGATTTTCTGTGTACATCTAAAGCTGCACACAATCCCGTACGCCCATTACCCAACTGCATATCGCAGGACCGCGAGCGCGATATAAGCTCGCGCGAGCGCATTAAAGCAGGGATCGAGGCAGCAGCGGCAGCACAAGGGTCGTTTTACGCGGACGTGCCCCTCTGTACACACATGCACGTAATACATATAAGTTATCCTGGCCTCTATCTATCCCTCTCGCTCCAGCTGGAGCTGACATTTGACCGCTCGCGAGTGACATCGTATACACGGAAAATTTCGCGCACGAGAAGCTGAAATCGCTCTTGGTATACTATATCTTTGTTCGGCTCGCTCCAAGATCATCCGTGGATATTATCTCGAGTAGCTTACATTACTCTGTCTCTCTCGTGTATGTATATTTCGATACAACGCGGTCATCTCGTTATTAGTGTATATACCGCACGCGAGAAAACATCCTTTGTCGTCCGATCGTCGTTCGTGTACGATGTATCTCCGAGCAGAGTTTCGGAGTGATTTGCTTAACGATCTTTTTTACTCCTTGTTATTTTTCGCCGCGATCGACTTGTGTGTGAGTGTGCGTCTGTGTGTGCACTCATTGTTTTACACGATATGTAATAAGGTTCTCTCTCTCTTTCGAGTCTCGCGCCGCGCGGCTACCGTTACTCAATCATAATACTATACTATACCGACTACTACTACTACTACTACTACTACTATATCTCATAATGAGGCTGCATTAAGCGATACATATTGCAGCTCTCGCGAGAGCTGCCAGTTAATGCGCGTCGTTACATAGCATGTATTTTTTTTTTTTATAATATAATGATATGTGTGTGTGTGTGTGTAATTTTTCGGGCTTCTAGAGAGATAAAGACGCCTATGAAAGAGAGAGAGAGCGAAAAAAAGAAGTGAACAACATTTTGGCAATCCATTTACCCGCCAACGGGTGTCTGACGCGGTAGCTCTGGTTTTGCGAAATATTTGCGCGCGCGCGCCTATATCATACACACGGTACTACGGTGCATATAATGCTCGCTCGCGAGTGTCCTAAATTCACTCCGCCAGCAGGCAGGCAGGCAGGCAGGCACACGATCGATCGAAATCTTTCGGTGATCGGACACTCGCCTGTATATATGTATCGGTGCATTTTATAATGTATATAGGTTCGACTGCGTTGAGTAATTCTCTCGTCTATAGTCGTATGCACACGTATGTGTGTGTGCTTAAAAAAAAAAAAAACAACAACGTTTTTCTTTTTCTTTTCTCTCTATTTTTTTTTTTTGCTGCTCGCTTCTAATGTTCCATTTGCAACGAAAGAGGAGTATTGCGCAAATGTCGAGAGAGAGAGAAAGAGAGACAGTGTATATACAGTGGTCGCCGCTTAAGAGAATCACTGTGTGACAAAAATTTTCATTCTATTAAGCGGATGATTCTACTATCCGATAGGGATTGCAATAACTTATAAATAACTTTGAATCCGAGAAATTATGCATTATTATAATAAATAATTTATTATTATAAATGAATATATATATATATATAATTTATATAATAAATTATTTATTATTAAATATTTATTCAAATCATATGTGACACCATTATAATTTAGTAAAATAGTCATTTATCTTGGTTTGTTTTTTCTTTTGGTCAATTATTTTGAAAATAAATTTTTCAAATTTGTAGTACTCTTCAAAGGATTTCGAACGATGTTGAACTCCTCGTCTCAAGACTTGTAATGCGTTAAACATTTCTAGATTATTAGGTGCGGGTTCTATACTATCATCTTCCTCTTCAATTTCTGATTCATCTGTGTCCAATTTTTGGCATATGTCATCATCTGTTGGCTTTCCAGAGGTTTCTAGACATTCGTCAATATCTATCCACTCGTCAAAAACCTCATGTGTCATATCTTCCGGATAAATTTCGTTCAAGCTAACGTTGCTCGAAATATTACATATTTCATTAGTTCCGTTAACAAACCCAGCCTTTCTAAAACAATTTTTTATCGTTTCGCTAGATACATAAGACCAAGCTTCTTTGATCTGATGTAGCGCATCAAGCAGAGAGGTCTTCTTGGCAATGTCATTGGCTTTGACATTTTGTTGATTATCTAATATTTGTATAATCCGTTCCCTCATTGTTCTTCGATAGTACGCTTTTAATGTACGAATTATACCTTGATCGCAAGGCTGTATCAGAGACGTCGTGTTGGCAGGTAAATAAACCACTGTAATATTTTTCATAGGCTCTAAGTTTGAATGTGCACCGCAATTATCAATGGTTAATAAAATTTTGCGTTTTAATTGTCTATCCCAATTTCGTAGCCAATCAGAAAAAATGTCTCTTGTCATCCACGCGTTTCTGTTGGCCGTGTAAGCAATAGGCAATTGAGTCACATCTTTGAAGCATTGTGGATTCTTAAATTTTCCAATAACAAACAGGTCTTTTTTTTCACCTGCCATACTGGCACAGCATAACAACGTTATACGCTCCTTACTTGTTTTGAAGCCTTTCGTATTTTCTGATTTTAGAGCATATGTATGCTCTGGTAATGCTCGGTAGTATAAACCCGTTTCGTCAGCATTAAATATATCGCTTGGCGAATAATTTTTAGATATTTCTGGCCATTCTTGTATAAACCACTCATTTGCACTTGTAAAATCAGCTTCGGCTTGTTCACCATGTGGCTTGCGATACACAATATTTTCTCGGCCTCTCCAACGTGAGAGCCAACCGTCAGTGGCCTTGAAATTTTCTTTGCCTAATTTCTTTGACAAATCTTCAGCTTTTGCTTTAAGTAACGGGCCATTAATTGGAGCGCCTTTTTCTCTCACTTCCACAAACCATTTCTTCAACGTTTTTTCTACGTCTTCGTCTTTGCCGCATCGTTTTCTCTTGCGGCTGAGATTTTCGTGAGAGCAAGAGGTACTTTCTATCTCGTAACGATTTAATAATAATCTACTAAGAGTAGCTTGTGATATGTTTAATAACAGCGCTGCATCACTTTGTGATAAATTTGGCAACAAATCATATTTTTTTAGTAGCTCCTTTTTTTCAAGGACACTTAAGCCTTTTCTATGAACTATAGCTGATGATTTTTTCATACTTGTATCACTAACACAATTAATTATTATGAGCATGTAATACCGACGGTGCTATGAGAAAGTACTGACAATGAAACTTGTATTTAATCGACAACAACATTGAATGTAAACATCGTCTTCAAACTAAATTTGATTCTATTAAGCGAAAAGTTTATTCACTTAAGCGGTGAATTTTACATGTATAAGGATACGGGAAAATCATTGTTAGGATTTTTGATTCATTTAACCGGCGTATTCTATTAAGCGCAATTCTCTTAAGCGGCGACCACTGTAGTCATACAAGTATAGTATCTCGTAGGGCTCTTATAAAATACACGCCGTATACACGCGCGAGAGCAAGGGATTGACGTTGACAGAGACTCACGCGTGTGTAAAAGTACACAGACGGACGGAGAGCAATGCAGTGTATACAGAGCAGCGTCAAGACAGAGAGAGAGAGAGAGCGAGCAAAAGCCATTGTGCAAAATTTCGATGCATAGACGACTGCAGCGCAGTGAGTGAGTGAGTGAGAGCGAACAAGAGCCCGAGCGCGAGCGAGGCGGAAATCCAAGTCGTGTGAATGATATTCTGTATACACACAAATACACGAGACTCGAGCTCTCCGACTTCTTCTCGCTATTATTATTATTATTATATACTTACTGTATAGCGCGTTTATTTGGATGAGACTCTGTAATTTATACACGATCGATACACGATTTATACATTTCTCGACGGCTCTCGTTGCATTGTTATATACACGTTCTCGCGTAAGCGTATACCGTATCAAGGCAAGAGCAAACAAATAGACTGTCGATATTATACGATAGGTACATACAAATATATATGCGATCGAATCGTCAACGCGGAATCCACTGTAATAATTGCGTTTTTCAAGTTGCACGAAATTTTTTTGTCTCTCTTCTGGTATCGCGATGACGCGCGGGTTTATTTCCAATTGTATGTATTATCGTCGGGCTTTGCTCAGATTAATTTTTTCTTTCTTTCGACGCGAATGAATCAATGTATCACCTCGCGATTGCGAAATGTCATACAGAAAGGTAGCAGATCTAGTTCCCCGAGGAGGGTGGCGATGCCTTCCATTGACCTTGCTTATTCTTTTTATCATCGTCCTCGGCGCAATCGACAGCAAAGGATATTTCAAAACATTCCAACCCGAAATCCGTGCAAATCGATTCCGATTGTGTTTTTATTACAGGCCTCGAGGAACGTACCGATCTGTCTCGTGTACGAAGTATTACGATTTTGACAAGGCGGTACAAGATTACGATAATAAGAAGAGAGAGAGAGAGAATGATAGTATGTATAACGAGCCCTTTTTAGTTCGCCTTTTAGAAATTTTTTTGCAAATTTGCAAACTGTTTCAAAACGTTTAAATGGTAAATAATAAAACACTTTTTTCACATTTCATATATGTTGATAATCCAAGTAGTTAAATTCGGTCAGAAAAGCGCGTTAAGTTAGCCGTGTGCTATTGTTGTTATTGCCTACCTATATTATGTTATTCGAACGAGCTACTTCTACTATTTTGGATCGATGATTTTAAATAGATACCGATATCAACGAATTATTCTCGTTCTAAGCTCGGGCCTACTCGTATCTCCTATATATCTCGAGTTCACTCTTCCATATATATTTTTTTAATAATCTCTATATATCTGTCGTATATAGAGTAAGTGAATAGTTGCAGTATTAGTGAACAGTTGGAAATATCGCATCGACCGCAGCAAGTGCGGTTTTCGTGACAAAAAAAAAAAAAAAACAATCTTAAATTATTAGCGACTGCGCGAGTTGTGCTCGAGTGGGGAAAAAAACGATAAAAATGACAGCTCAAGATTGGAGTAGCTTGATGAGCATTGCCAGTCGAGCGAGCGAAGAGGAAAAACGCCGATTGCTCCTTGATGGCATATATCGTATCGTCGAAAATTGGCAGGGCCCATTACCGGATCTCTTGGAGATCTTTCGACCCGAAAAAATCGAGCGTCTTCTCTCGTACGCCGTAACGGACCGAGAGGGCGACGAGAAGGCAAGAATACGATTCATCAAGTTCGTGGTTGACACCGGATACAGAGACCAGCCCAAAATTGGCACAGACGGCCGGTACGCGTTGCATCGCACCACACCGATACATCTCGTTTCGCGCGCCCAAGTCCGCGACTCGCCCGGCATCGTTCACTCGCTGTTTGAAATCTACGACAGATTCGACTTGAACTACATCGACGAAACGGGATTCACGCATTTGCACGCGGCTGGCTCTATCCCCGATGGACAGCGGCTCGTCGCAAGATTTCTCGAACACGGGCAGAATCCTAATGTCGTCCTAATTCCAGGTCATTCGCTGCTACGATCGGCCGTGCAAAACGACTGGCAGTTGGCTGCGGAGCTACTGAAAAGAGGCGCAAGTCCGACTTGGCGCGATGCCGATGGATCCACTGCTCTGCACGCTATTTGCCGGGATGGTCGCGTGAATCACTTGCTGCAGTTATTCTTCGAGATCGTCGACGAGCACAGAGAGCCGGTGCAGGTCGATGTCCGTGACAGCTTCGGTAACACACCCCTGCACTTGGCCATGCTTCACGGCAACAAGAGGGCAACCGAGATACTGCTGGCAAGAGGCGCCGAGCCGAATTTGGCCAACAAGAAAGGATGGACACCTCTGCACTTGATTTACCGGAGAGTCGAAAAAGATGAGTCGATAGAGTCGTTTTTCAAGGTCAACGAGGAAAATCGTCAAACGGTTCAGGTCGATGTTCGCGACAGGAAGGGTAACACACCGCTGCACTTGACTCTGGAGAACAGCAACGCGTGGGCGTCCGAGATACTGCTGACAAGAGGCGCCGACGTGAATTCGGTCAACGAAAAGGGATCGACACCTCTGCACATTATGTGTCAGAAAACCGAAGCCGACTTATTGGTGAAAAACTTCTTCGCTATCAACGCCAGATTAAATAATCCGGTGCGGGTCAATGTCCGTGACAGCTTCGGTAACACACCGCTGCACTTGGCCATGCTCCACGGCCACAAGAAGGCAACCGAGTCGCTGCTGCGCGCGGGCGCCGATCCGAATCTGGCCAACGACAAAGGAGAGACTCCGCTGCACGTTATTTGCCGGAGAGCCGACGGCTGCGACATAGTCGAGGTGTTCTTCAAGGTCGTCCGCGAGCTGCGCGGAAAGCCGCAGGTGCAAGTCGATGCGCGCGACTGCTACGGTAACACGGCGCTGCACTTGGCCGTGCGTCACAGGAGCACGATGAAGTTCTCGATACTGCTGGTGAACGGCGCCGATCCTAATTTGGCCGATAACGTCGGATGTACCGCTCTGCACCTCGTTTGCCACTCATTGAGACCCTACGGTTCGATGAGTCGATTCTTCGAGATCGTCGACCAAATGCAACGGCAGGTCCGGCTCGATGCCCAGGACAACGCGGGCTGGACGCCGCTGCACGTGGCTGTGCATTCGCGCTGCAAGGGCAAGTTTCAAACGCTGCTGGAGAGAGGCGCCGATCCGAACGTGGCCAATCGGGATGGACAGACCGCTCTGCACTTTCTCGGTAGTAGAATCCACGACGATTTCATGTGGCGTTTCTTCGGTATCGTCGGCGACACGCGGCGGCCGGTGCTGATCGATGCTCGGGACACGAGGGGCCGGACTCCGCTGCTCGTGGCTTTGTTCGCCAAAAACACGAGGGCGGCCAAGAGACTTCTGTCGGTGGGCGCCAATCCGAATCTGGCCGACGCGGATGGATGGACTCCTCTGCACGTCATCTGCATCGAATGCAATTGGTTTTTGGACGCGTTCTTCCGAATCAACGCGGAGAGACAGCAACCGGTGGAGATCGATGCCAAGACCAACGAGGGTAGAACGCCGTTGAACTTGTTGAGGAATCGCAAGCCCTTTAACTACGAGCAAGTGTCGCGATATTTGGAGCAACTGGGCGCCGAGCTTGACTGACGATGAAAGATCGCGACCGCTGATCTGTGAATCAGCGACGATTAGCCTATCCGCCATATTTTTTGGTGATTAGTGTTATTCAAGGTCGCATATTTTCCATATCGCTCGAATAAATGAAAAATTGTTTTTCTTTCAATTAAATTTCGTCGGAAAATGTTTTTTTCCCACTCTAACCTAAAATACGCAACTTTGCCGCTAATTTTAGGCTCTCGTAGGAAAAAATAGTATCTCAAACTGGTGCAGATATGGTTTTTTAACAAAACTCGTTACAGCACTCGCCTTCGGCTCGTGCTATAATCCCTCGTTTTGCTAAAAAACCATGTGCACCCGTTGAGAAATATACTATTTTCTCCCTATTTTTATCGTGACCTTTGCAATCTTTGCAATTTTTAATTTCGAAGTAGAATGACCTCTACAGTAGGGCTGTGCGAGTACTCGAAAAAACTCGACTCGTCGAGTTCGAGTGTTTTCCTCGAGTTCGAGTCGAGTACTCGATTTTTTGAGTACTCGAGTTTTTTCGGGTACTCGCGTTTTTATCGAGTACTCGAGTTTTTTCGGGTACTCAAGTTTTTTCGAGTAATCGAGTTTTTTCGAGTAATCGAGTTTTTTCGAATACTCGCAATATATTCAAGTTTTAAGTGAATAAATGATGAATTAACAGTCTCTAGACCCCTCCTTTTGTGTGTACGTGATTGTAAGTGTGATGAAGTGCGGTACAATTAAATTATTTTCTTCTTCCAATCCAATCCGCTGCGAATATCAAACTTATAAGCATGTACACACAAAGAGAGTTGGTCTAGAGACTGTTGATTCACTATTTACACTGAGAAAAAAATTTCATTGAAACAATCACGAAGTGATTGATTCAAAGAAATATCATTTCATATTTCATATTTCACAAAATGAATGAAATGATTAAATAAAATTAATAAAATTATGATTACTTCGATGAAATATTTGATTGGCAGACATACCGAGTAAATATTTCACTAAATTGACGAAATGCTTCATTGTTGAGATTACTTGATCTATCAAGTTGATGAAACTAGTTTCATTCAAAATATTGTTATGAAATATTTTATCAAAACAACAAAATATTTCGTTGGTATATGCCAATTAAATATTTCACTAAATTGACGAAATGCTTCATTGTTAGGATTACTTGATCTATCAAGTTGATGAACCTAGTTTCATTCAAAATATTGTTACTAAATATTTCATTGATTTAATAATCCGTAATAAAAATGAGTCTAATGTTTTGCGGCTAGAGGGCATTTTGTAACTATTTTCTCGTTTCCGCAAGTGACGAAATATCTTTTAGACTGGTATATAATGAAGGTTCATCTTTGAATATAAAGTAAATAAGCGAGCGACCCCTAAGTAGCGTTAGTGTCGCGTTATCGTTTACAAGCGTGTAAATGCGTTAGGTTTATAGAATATATGTAAAATAGTGTGAAAAAATTGAAAAAATTATGTATGAAAAATAAAATAATTTCTGTGAACCTAAGATAAATTAATGACTGTTAACTGATATCAGTGTGAAAGAGTTCAAAGAAGTCAAAACCAAAACACAAAAATATATTTTATATTCTATTTAAATAGAAAATAAAATCAAAAAATTATTTTGTTAAAATTTTCGAAATATTTTATCAAAACAAAAAATTTTTTAATTGATTTTACAAAAAATATCATTGCTAGAATTAAATTGTGTTATAATTAATTAAATTATTTTGACAATTCAACTAAATATTTAGTTAACTCGATTATATATCGTGTATTATTATTCAAATTAATAGTTTGTTTCTATTAAATATTTTGTAAATTTTAATAGAATATTTCATAGAATCAATGAAATTAATCAATTGATTGCCCGCGATGAAATAATTTCGTTGAAACAATGAAGCCTTGGTTGATCGGGCCAAATATTTTTCTCAGTGTAATAGCGCGTAATTCTTTCTCTGTAATATTTCACCATGTCCAAATTAACATAGAACGTTGATTTAAGTTGGCTACATTGTTCAGATAGTTCAGGTTGTCAAAATAGAAAATGTAGTCCTTTTTTTCACAGTATCTCACCAAATGTAGTTAGTATAAAATTGCTATAACTACCCTCAAACATACAAACATACAAACATAAAAATTAAAAATCCGAATTTCACACATTCAGAAAAGTTATACGCGTAAGACTAGGAATTTTTTAAATAAAATATGCGGACGAAGTCCACGGATTATTCTGGAATTTAGTTATGTCATATAGTACACGAAAAAAAAGTGTCGAAGCCGATATTTTAGATTACGATATCGCTCGTAGCCTTCATAATCCGCAAGAACGTTTTTTTTTTCTATTTTTACCGATTTTGAAGCTATGACTTGTTTTTGACAAAACAAACCCCCTGAAATTTTTTCAGTTTTATCGAAAGAAGTAACGGAGGACCTAACGAAGCCTTAAAAAATATGAAAAAAATTTTTCTCATTTTTTTCATCGAAGCTCATAACATTGAATTTTTCAGATTTTTTCATAGAGGGTGTCTAGCATTTAGAACTTAAAAACGCTATTTTTAACATAAATAGCTTGTAACAGCCGGAAATATGACTAAAAAAATATTATAAAATATTTTCTGAGTTCCTTTTCAAAAATTTAAAACTTTTTTGTTCTTTGCATTTTTTCGATTAAAGCCGTCCTTTTCGGCCTAGAGCAAAAAGTAGTTAAAAAAACCAGCTTTCAGGTCCCTCAATGTCTTCAGAATGATCTTCGATCTTTGTATTTTAGCGATTAATCAAAATAATATCGATCCGAAGTACACGCATATACTGCACGCCGATCGACGATCGTCGTCGAGTTCAAAACGTTTATTCATTTTACGTTTACGTGCCCCGCGATCATAATAATATGGCTTAAAAGTCGCGCGAGATTCTTTACGCGTGAATGAAGATACATCGAGAGACTGTCGGAAACGAGGTGAACCTATATGTATTCGCGGGTATCCGTTCTTGTAGTACTTCGCACCGTATGTTTGCGCGTCGCGATCGAATGAACGACTGAATGAGATATCTTGTTTGTTTTGCGCTTCCCCGCGTGCGTTGGTCAGGTCGATCGACCACCCATTCCTCTTTTCTTTTTTTTTTCTTCTTGTTTCTGCCCGGTGCTTATGTCTTTGCAACGCCAAAAAGACGATTTAAGAACTTTTACGAAAAAAATCAATAAAGTCCATTTTTTTCGATGAAAACGAAGTCGTAGGGCAAAACTGACCACGGCATTCGATTCTTTAGACAAAGATACGTAAGATAATGTTTAGCCTAGATGGATTTACTTCTCAAAGCGAAATTTGTAATTTATTTTACGGATGAGAGATTTATTTTTGGACCGCTTTTTTAAATCTTTTAACAGTGGTTCCTGGTATGATCGGTCTACTTTACAGAAATAATTCAATTGTCTTTTCCATGCCGAGTCTTTGAAAGAGAAAATTAATCGAATCTGCGGATACCAAAAGTCAAGTGAAATCGACTCGTGCAATCGCCGATATCAATTCCGTTGAAAATCGAAAATAAGTTCCCGATCGAGCTTGAAAAGTAATTCGAGCTTCGATGCAGACACGAGCAAGAATCTCGAATAACGTCTCTCGAGTTCGGCTCTCTTTCTCAAATGGAATATTAACGTAAGACATAATGTAACAATCGAAGCCTGCTTGCGATCGCGATACAACCGATTTCAAAGAGGGAAAATGAAAAAAAATAAAGAAAATCGAGGAGCGCATTCGTATCCAATCGAGAAAGTGTCCGCGTGTGCACCACAAGCATGCCTATTATACACATATATATGTGCACTCGTAACTCGGTTGGCGAAGCTATACTTGGCGCGCGGCGCGAGCTTTTTCGCGGAAAGTCGTACAGGCTGCACCGCGACGCAAAATTCAATGGCCTGTGTTACGCCCGTATATATTCCTATACGTATTCTCGAGCTGTGTGCTGTAAAATCGTTATTACCCGTATATGTATAAGTAAAAATATTTTCGCTTACTTACTTACTCACTTACTTACTTACTTGGCGCGTATGTGCGCTCGATACATAATGTACATCGTATCGATGCGTGCGCGTCCACTGAACTCGTGTTGCACCAACGCACAAATAAACGCGTCTCCTGTACGAGCCCGAGCCAAGAGCCCGATGAATGAACGTTTTTATGAAGATTAATTAGAAATGATAAATCAAGCGCGGAATGACCGCCCGGACGAGCCGAGTCAAAATTTATACGATCGTCATCTGCCGCCTCGTATATAATGTGAGCCGAGAGAAGTCGAGGCATCGTTTCTTCGTGCGTACACATAAATCCGTACTTACGCTCGTGTCGCATCGTGCGTATATACTTTGTAGCGATAATCCCCCGAGCTCGTGGTGAACATTGCGTGGCTCAAATACTTGCTCATATTCATATATAGGCGTATTATGGGCGCTCGACGCTCGAACACGTAATAATCACGACTGGATCGATGGAATATTTTCTTCGCTCGCTATACTTACTCACTCGGAGACTCGTCTCGAAGTTTTTCTATGCATTACTAGAACCTTGCGCCTTTTGTATCAAGTCGAGCTTTCGAGCAAACACACGACGAGTTGTACACACACGAGCCGACGTGAACGCAAACGATTCATATCGGAGCTCCCGTTGCTTTATTTTCATGCGCAACGCGTTTCTTCTCTCTTCCTCTTTCTTATCCTTCATCATTATTATTATTTTACTTTTTTTTATCGCCAGCCGAGTCCCGCATGGCGCGAGCATATATATAACGTCGTTTTACAGCCACGAGGCAAATTTCGCTCTTGCTCTAGTCGTGAAACTTGGGAATGTTAAGTTTCATTTGTAATTGATTTCATTAAGGCGCTTCCCGAGTGTCATGATTGCACGATATAGGCCGAGATAAATTTAAGCTAGAGAGTGCGTGTTTATTGGCCGAGTAGGCTGGCTTGGCCTTTCTGAGAACGTTGACCGCGAGGGTTTTTT